TCTTGAGCTCTGACATAAATGCACGCCTTATTTGAAGCAATATTAATTTCAATTCTCAATAAGACATAAATATTTTGGAAAGAAGGGAATGAAGAACAAGCAACAATTTGTTCAGGTTTCACATCTAAACAAATAAATCTCATTCCACCAAGAATTGTTGGTAAATCAATCGTATTGTTTTGTTTCATTTGAACAATACTTTTCTTTTCAGTGGTATTACCAATAGTATTCCAATATTGCATAAAAATATTTGGTTCTAATGGTTCTTGAACAAGGAATGCATTTACAGTTAATGGGAGTGAGAATGCAATTTTATTTTTAATTGAACTTGATTTATATGTGATATTAATTATTGGGGATTGATAATAAAATCCAGAGATTGTAAATTGAGCAATAGATTGAATTTGACTTTTAATTCCAATTTTTCCATTATATTCACCAGAATTACATGTTAATCCATTTGGACATTCAATGATATAATTTAATTCAACTTCTTCTGAAATTCTATTTCCAAAGAATAATGCAAATTTACATATTGGTGATTCTAATGCACTTTTAAGTCCAATTTGGATAGTATCATCTTGATATAATACTCCTTCAAATGCTAAAATTAATTTGTTATGATTATTTATCATAATATTTTCCATTTGTTCTTTAATATTATGACATACACATCCATCATATTTTTCTGTATTTTCACTTGGTTTAATATTTATTTCTTCTTTAGGTTGTTGTTGAATTTGATTTATATCAGATCCACCAAAATCAAATACATCATTAGGTTGATTAGAGAGTTGTTGTTGTTGAATTGATTGATTTAATGAAGAAGAAGAAGTTATTTGTTGATTTGTAGAAACTGGAGAAGTTAAAATATTAAATAAATCATTATTCTTTGGGACTTCTTCTTTCTTATTTGGATCAACAACACCAAGTAACATAAAGAGATCATCATCTCTATTTGTTTCTTTTGTATTTCTAGAAACAACATCAGCACTATTTTCTGTTACTGTAACTTCACCATCAACAATTTTTCCATCATTACCTTCTTGTGAACCTTCCCAAGGTGGAATAGGTTCAAATACAATAGGTTCTAATTCATCAATAGAAGTCATAAACAAATAATCTTGACATCTATCAGAGATTTCAGCATCACTTGATGAAGAATATTTAATAAATAAAGATTTAATTTGATCTCTTAAACAAGGGAAAGTAGCATGTAATTTAGCAAATGCAGATAACATAGTTAATTTAGTTTGATAACTAACTAATGGGTATTTATCATTTAACATATCAAAAATATTTTGTGCAATTTTCATATTATCTTTAACAACAAGACTTCCATATTCTCCTAAGATATAACTTGAAATTTTAATAAATGCATCTTTCCAAGCAACTTCTTGAAGATATTTATAAGTAGCTTTAGCAGCAAATACTTGAACACTATCATTATTAATAATAATACGAAGAATTCTATTTAAAATTTGATCTCCAATATAATCACCAGAAACAGCAGTTAATTGTAACATAATATCAACATACCATTGTGGTGTTTTAGCAAATTTTTCAGCAATTAAACAAATTTTTACAATAACTTCTTCTCTAATAGTTAAATCTGAAACAGGAAGAAATCTTAATAATTCTGTTAAAATTTTATTACAACATTCATTATCACATACATCAAATAATACTTGAAGTGCTCTTCTTTTTACTGAAATATCAATTTCTCTTAATGAATCAATCATTTTTGAAAGATATTTTTGTACTTCTTTATCACATCCAACAGTACACATTGAACACATTGCATCTAATGCTAAATATCTTAAATTTGTTTCAGTAGCATTTAAATAAGTTCCAAGCATATTAACAATTTTTGATTTAGTATTTTCTGGAAATTCAACAAATGGAGCAAGTTCTATAATTTCAAATAATATAGAAAACATTGCATTTCTTGTATTTTCACTTAATTTTGCATCACATGTATCTATTAATGATTTAACACAATCAGAAAGATAATTTTCTTCAGCTCCTTTCTTTGGTGTAATATATCTTAATGTTCTTAAAATACGAACTTGAAGCCATGGAGATGGTACTGAATGATAATTATATTCACTTGAATAATCTTTATTCATTAATTTAGATAATATATTTAATAATTTACTTGTTGCATCTTCCCATGATTTTGGATCTTTTTCTACAATAACTAATAATATCATTACTGCACATGATACAAGACATAAATCTGGATTATTTAATAATTTTAATAATTTATCATGAAATTCTGTATCTAATTGAATAATTGTTGGATTTTTTAAATAAAGATGTTTTAGTGTTAATGCTGCTTTTTTTCTAACTACTGTAGGAATAGTATTACTAAATAAAATATTTAAAATATCTGGTCCTAATGTTTCTACCATTTCTTTATTCCCAATACATGATATAACATTAAATGCACAACATTGATTTAATGGATTTGAATCAATTAATTCTGCTCTTAATGTATTAATAACTAATCTAGTAGCTTCATGTTCTTCATATAATAAAATACTAATAGCTAAATATCCTACTTGTTTATCTGAAAATTTAGGTGATGTTAATAATTCTGTAATAATAGGAATTCCAAAATCAACATCATATCCTAATATATAAATATATAACATTTTTAATATATATTTTCTTCTTCCATGTCCTTTTAATTTTTTTCCTGTTTTAAATTCCATACGAATATGAGCTAATTCTTTATCAACTGATTTCCTTTCTTCTTCTGGATTTTGTGATCTATGAATTTCTTGAATAAAATTATGAAGTCCTCTAAGTGTTGTTCTTGCTAATTCCATTTTCTTGTTTTCTATCCAATAAATTTTAAGTTCTTTTTTTTTTCTTTTTTTTCTAAATTTTATTTTTTTTTATTTTTGTTATTTATTAAAACTGTAAAATCATATTTAATCAACTTATTCTTTTCAATATTTAATGTCCTCAATCTCTGAAAATTCTATAGAAACACAACTCATTAATAACCAACAAGAGACACAACAAAATAAAGTATTAACTAATTATATTCAATTTTTCAGTAGATTATTTATTATTAAAAGAGTAGTTAAAGAAGATGATTTAATTCAATCAATCCAAACACATTTTAATACTCTTTCAATTTCTTCTATTATAAGAGAACTTAATCAATCATTTCAAGCATTACATATGGAAATACGTAGATCTATTGATCAAAATACTGGAGATTATGTTTATGTATTAATAACAACAAGTCTTGATGAAATAAATCAAATTGCATGTATATTTGATCAAAATGATTTAAAAAAAGTAAATGAATTAATAGAATTATTAACAAATAATAATTATAAAATACAAAGAAATTCATTGGATGATGAATATGATTCTGTTTGTAATATATTAATCGAACTTAAGTATCTTAATGAAATTTCAGGAATACTTACTTTTGGACCTTGTTATTTAGTTTCAGAAGAAGCATCTGAATTAGAATTACCTCGTTGTGAAATTTGTAATTTACCTGGAACAATGGGAACATTTTGTCCAAATACTACTTGTCAGACCTTTTATCATTTGTTATGTTTAAAGCGATTAGGAAGAGAAAACCATATATGTTCACATTGTAAAACACATTTAGATTATAATTGATTGATTTTTTATATCTTAATTTCTTTTTCTTCCTTTAATTCCAATTGTTTTTTTTTTAATTTCTTTGACTTAGTATTCTCATTGTTGTCATTCTAAATTATATTCACTTTTATTCAATCTTCTTTTAAACTTCGATTCAAGAAATAAATGGTTATTTAATAATAGTCATTTCTTTTGTAAACTATAACCATCTTATTCTCTAATCATTACTATCTTTTTTCATGTTATTTCGTTAAGACTACTATCGTGAATAAAAAGAATCTTACTGAAACTACTGAGTGATTCTTTTTATGAAGGTTTTAACTCTTGTACATTTCATTGTGATTTAGATTGTTTCTGAATAGAACTGAATGAGTGTTTTTGATATTAAAACTGAAATTAACTCATATGTACTTATTCAAGTATGTCACAATAACGAATAATATACTTTTATAAAAAGATAATTTTAGAATTGAAAAAAAAATAATTTCTTGATCTCTTTTTAGTTTACAATCTTATCCATGTATTTTTATAATAAAATAGAGTAAGATTTCATTTTGATAATTCTTTTGATTCTTTTGGTGATTTCCAATCAAGCATTTGACTGTGAAACTAATACTACAAATATTTAACTATCTAAGTGTATTAATTCAACAATAACTTAAAAGTTCTATGAATTATTAAGAAATAACAAAGAAAGTTTTGAAATAGCAATACCTTTAAATTGTATTTATAACTTTAAGTCAAATAATTAAACTTTGATTCTATTAAAATATGTCTTTATTCTCAAAAGAATTGGATAATTAATAATGTTTCAATGGTGTAGAATATGACAGTTTTCTTATCAATATAAGATAATATTGGTTTATTTTTATAATTATGTTATCTAAAATCAATATTATATCATCTTCTGTTAATAAACATAATATCATTGATAATTTTGAGTTTGAAAATAAGAGAATTAAATTAGAACCAAATAGAATTGAAAGGATGTAAAAACATTACTTTATTTAAAAGTTATGTATTATTTATATTTTTAACTCTGAATATTTTTAGTGATAGTAGTACTGTTGTTTAAAATAACATATTGAACAATAATGAAATAAATAACAATACATAATGATTTTATCATGATTTATTCTATTATAATAATTGATTATTTATTGAATAAGGTTAATATAATATTTTGATTTATTTGTAATTTACTAGATTGATAAGTATTATTTTTACTATTAAAATGAATAAATGTTTATTTTATATCAACCATCATTAAATATTGAATGGATAAAAAGATATATAAATGATGGTGAAATTATAATGAATTCAAATGAATAACATTTAAAATAGAAAGTTTATAACTTTAATATGATGAAAATCAAGAAATAGAATAACATTACTTTTCTTATTTATTTTATGAAATAGAGTTTTAATACAATTTCTTTGAATAAACAAATAAATAGATACATATGGTTTAATGAAAATGAAACAAACTCATTCTAGAATAATTATAAAACAATATATTCTACTGTAATTATTCTTAATAATGTTATAATCAACACGTAAATATCATAACTAAAATACAAAATAAAATGATAAATTTTAACAATTCAATATAATTTAGTTTATTATCTACAATGACATTTCATTTAAACACTATTTCATAATAATAGTAATGAAACACATTTACAATAGTTATTTGTTTCATTAACATTTAGTATAATTATTAAGTTGTTTAAGTATTTATAAAATTGAGAAGTATTTGAATAGATTCCATCAAGAATATTTTTATCTCCTAATAATAATTTTAATATTGTTTATTTCATTTAGTATATAACAAATGAGTGAGTCTTGTATAAAATGGTATATAATGAATATTATAAATTTGAATAATACTAAAAACAAGTTTTACTTTGTGGAGTAAATAAATTAATTGAAATCATTTTTATAAGTAATGAATTCTTGACAAAATATAATGTTCAGATGAACTTATGTATAAAATAAAGAAATATTTAACAGTGCAATAGAATTGAAGTTCAAAAATTTACATATTGGATATAAACAATTGAAATATCAAATCATTTGAAGTAAATTACAATGTAGTAACAATTCAATAATAATCATATCCTTTTAACTAATAGTATAACAAATCACATTTATTATGATACTAGCAATGAGTATAATAATTTAATGAAACATTGATATGTTTCAAAATTGAGGATAATATTTTATTATCAATTATGATTTATCTATTGTTTAAAAGTATTATAATCAAATGTGTATTCCAA